CCCCTGTGGAGAATGGCAGACCTGCAGCCTGCATACAAGTGATCTCGGTGACATCGCCAGGATCACTTGTACAAGAGAAGCGGCGGCTTCCCCATTGTACATTCAGCTCTGCTTGCCCAAAGCAGGGCTACATGTAGAAAACAACTACCCGCCCGGCGCCCGGAGCTGCATCTGCCGGGCATTAGGAGATAGGAATCCCACACCCCTGATGCCTCTCTACTCCCTGCTGCCCCAAGGCCTTGTGGGAGAGTAGAAAAGCCTGTACCTTGCCACTATAGTGCAGAGTGGTCTCTCTGCAGAGGTCCAACGTGCACCCTGCTAGGCTAGAGCTCTCCAATCAGCAGGAAGCATTTTTAAGGTTACTACTTAGTTCCACTTTAAGATTCTTCAGCCAGTGTAGCTCTTCACAAAGATTGGAGTTACAGGCAGCGGGACGGGTAGGTATTATACCAACTCTACCAACCAACTCTATAGGTAGGTATTATAGCTTTAGTTAAACACAACTTGAAGAATTCAAAGAATGTTCAGCAAGAAAAGTTATGACGATAAACCAAGACTTTATCGAAGCTCACCCGAATTTTGTCATTGAGTAGCGCCTCTGCTGTGTCTTCATCCAGCTCTGGCTGTGGGTACACGCTGATGCCATGAGCCTGCAGGTCCTTTCTTATCTACCAATGACAGCAATGCATTGTGAATAGGAAAGTCAACACTCTGTATGTGATAGCAATGGGTGCAAAGCAGCCCTCTCCAGACGCACATACTTAGTTTTTCTTCACTCCCTCACCTCTCTGTTCACCTACCAGGAATGGAGAAAGTCAGCCCTGTGTAAGCTCCGAGCTGCTCCAACTGGAGCTTACACTGAGCTGAGGACTTGTCCTGCCTATATGGGACAGTACTGGTCCAGTCACCAAGAACCAGTGCTGTCACATGTTTCCAGATCAGCCTTTCTCACCCAGGGTGCCGTGGCATGTCTTCTTGCTTCCTCAGTGGTGCCTTGAAATGTTCTGATGTGAAGGGGAAACTCTGTGCCCTAGTGCAAGGGGGACTCTGATGTAAAGGGGGTTCTTAAATGTGAAAGGTGAATTCTGATGTGAAGGGAGCTAAGGGGAAACTCCTAGTATAAGGGGGACTCTGATGTTAAAAGAGAGGGCTCCTCATGTGACGGGTGTTCCTAATGTGAAAGTGAGATTCTGATGTGAAAGGAGCTACTGAGGTGAAGGTGGACTCCTAGTGCGAGAGGGGGGACTCTGATGTGAAAGTAGGGGGCTCTGATGTGAAAGAAGCTAAGGAGAGACTGCTAATGTGAGGGGGACTCTGATGTGAAAGGAGCTAAGGGGAGTCTCCTAGTTGGAGGGGGACTCTGATGTGAAAGGGGGTACTCTGATATGAAGAAGGTTCCTAATGTGAAGAATGGGCTCTGATGCGAACCCTACTTTTTTTGTTTTTTGTGTGGAATCCCCCTTGAAATCTATACCAGACTCCTATCTTAGATAAGGTTCTGGTATGGATTTTGGAGGGACCACATGTCATTGTATTACATTTTCTTTTTTTACATTTTAGGCTGGGGTGCCTCAAGATTTTGCATACTTTTATAGGGTGCCGTGACTGAAAAAAGGTTGAGAAACGCTGTTTCTCGATATACAGAAATACTGGATATTTCTTCACCCTGTCATAGCTGTATGGCTGGAGAAGGAAAGTTATGTGTTGCTGGGGAAGTAAGGGGAGGGAGCATTAAGCAAACCTGTTGCTTTGCTTTGCATTAGCAATGCATGGGTGTGCTTCAAATTTCCAAGGCCCCCCGGCTTTTTATTTATGCCTTGGACAGCCACCAATCATATCCAAACTTGGTCTGAAAGACGACGGTCAGAGAGTCAAAAGGAAGAATCTGATTGGTGGCGGCCAGGCAACAAAGATCATTCTCAGCTACTAATTTTCCTTTCTCCAGTGACTGGCCTGGTCTCATTCATGACTCTTGATGGTCAGGACTTGTGAAGTAGACTCAACGGAGAAGATTTTATCATTTGTGAGATGTGTGAAGAGGAGTGGTCAGGCTTCGTACATATGTATTGTCTTATAGAAGGAACTTACCCTCTTCTTAAACTCTTCTCTCTCCTCCAGCGTGAGTGTGTCGGCTTTGGCAATGACCGGTACAACGTTTACAATGCGGCCCAGGCGTTTCATGAACTCGAGGTCCAGCGGTCTCAGCCTGGGGGGGGAGAACAGTTATAAGGTGACATCCTCAGCGCTGACCCACAATACATAAAGGGAGATGATAGTGTTTGAAATTATTTTTATGAATGCCATAGGCAACACTGGGACAACCCAACCCCCCTCAGTGCCATGCCTTGAGGTCACATTTATGTCCATGGAGAGGGAAGGGTGAAGGACAGAGGAAACTCTCTATTCTAGCTTATCAACAGTAAGGCCCCGTTCACATATAGCGAATTGTCGCGCGATTTCGCGCATTTTTGCCGTGCGATATTGCGAGAAGTCGCCGGCCAATGCTATTCAATGGAGCTGTCTTAACTCCATGTCGCGCGTCGCTCGTTGCGGTTGCAAGTCCCTTCTATCGGACCCTTTTTTCGGCGGATTTTGCGCAATTTTGCTTTTTTTCTATGGAGCCCAACGGAGAAGGTCGCGCTACCGTCGCTGGATCGTCGCTGGATCGTCGCTGGAAAGTCGCGCTATCCCGGCCGCTGCAAAGGTATGTCGCTATATGTGAACGGGGTCTAAAGGATGGGAGAGGTCCAGTGTTTCCTTCTCTATACAGTCAGCATTGTCTGAGAGCAGCCATAGACAAGACATCAATTATAGCAACTGTGCTGGTTGTCTGTGGCTGTCAGGGCCGTCCCTATAATGAGGCGGCCTGGACCTCTTGCCATAGGCAGCATCTCTTTGGGTCACATGGGGGGGGCAGCATTGTCGTTCTGCTGCACAATGTACACGTCATCCCCTTTCCAGCCAGAGCATCCCAGGCACTGGCACTGACATGTCCTGCCATGTAAACCTCCCCCTAAAGAAACCTTGCAGGCTAAAAAAGAAGTGGTCCTATATAAAGCAGAAGTAATAACGCAACTAGCAACGCGCATAACGCAACCAGACAAAGAAAGTACCGAAATCACGCTATAGATCACAACTCCTAAGCTTACTTTGATTAGGAAAGCCCCTAACCTTTCTCCTGCCAAAG